TTGGATTTGATGCTGTGAGTGGATTTTCCTGAGTGTACGGGGTTGAGTTTGCTGTCGGGGTCGATTAGCAGGATGTCGTTGTTTTTTTTTTGAGAACTCTGCGATGAGGTAGCGCACGCTTTGTATGATGTCAGCCTGAGGAATGCTGTTGAAAAAGCCAACAAGGTCGTGATTGAGGAATATAAGTTCCCGCTCCGGCTGCTCTTCGTTGGCCTGGAGTAGTTCGTGGACTTCCTGCCACAGCTGAGGTGTTGCGATGTTCCCGAAGTGGTGTGGCCACGTGGCTTTGAGCATCTGCTGAAGTGCCAACGCCGCAACGCGAAGAAGTCGGCCAACACATGTGTTGGAGTAGGCGATGATCGTGCGGCCGTTGCTCCACTGCTTTTTCCGCTTCATCATGATGTAGCCATACGGAATAGGCTCGTTGTAGTCGAGGAGCTTTTTGTAGTGCTTGCGAACCGTTGCTGGCGTTTGTCTTGCCATATCTGCCTTGATGTCCTCGGGGCTTTTGTCCAGAAGGAACGTTTTCTTGTCCATCCAGGTGTTGACCGCTGCCTGATTGTAGACGTTGGGGCAGTAGATCATGAGGTGGGCGTTGGCGTGGTCCTCGTTGTGAATAATGTAATTGTGTGGCAGTGCGGATACCCGGTGCTTGACAAGTCGGTGTGTGAGTCGAGGTTCGTATCGCTGTTGTTCTTCATGTCGTTGCCGCTGCTCCTCGAAGAATGACTCGAAGTTCTCCATGATGCGGTCGTCGTTGGGAAATAAAATGGTGCTTGAGCCACCCGCGAAGTTGGTTGAGAATTTGGTCGTGTAAACGTCTTTTGGATGGAAAGAAGGCGTTGCAAGCACCGACATTCGCGAAGGCTGCGCCGAGGTTGGACTGGCCTTTGCAAAAGTCAAGCGTTTCCAGGGCCTGTGGCTACGTGTCCTTCGTGATACTCGGCTCTGGGGTGCTCGAGCAGGAACTCGTGGCACTTACTTACATGGCTCCGGTTTCCAGTGTCGTCCTTGCGTTGTGACTTTGCGCATATGGTTCCACAGGACCTTGTTGAGCGCGGGGTGCGGCATCTCCTGTGTGGTTTTGGTCGGGAGGTGGTGCGGGGTGAGAACGTGCCGATGTTGTCGGATGAGCCTGGTGACAAACTCCTGCGCGTTGGTCTTGAAGTCGTTGTGGGCGAGGAAGGGTATCTTGAGCGGCAGGTTGTACTTGGGCACGGTGGCGTTGCGGAATGTAAGCACTCGTCGGAGTCGGGCTCGGGCTTTGAACCGCCAAGGTTGCTCCATGTGGTTTGCCAGGCGGTAGAGGAGGGTGAACGTCTCGTTGTCGTGCTTGCCACTGCGTAATTCACGGGAGGCATCGTATTCCTGCTTGGTGTCGCTGGAAATGGCGTAGAGGAGCTTCCAGAACTGCGCTTGCTTGGGTAGAGTGTTGACTAGTTGCTGCTTTTGTCCTTGAAGTCGTCTACGAATCTTTTTGAAAAACTGCTTGGCCAAGGTGTCAGGTGGTTTTTGTAGGTGAGGTTGTTGTCTTGTAGGCACCAACCCGTGAGCCTTCTTGACGAGCTCTTTCGTAACGAAGGGGCAATTCAACTTGGGCTGCCATCTTTGAATGAGACACTGTTCTTCAGCCCATGCATCAAAATACTCCTGATGCTGCGAAAGAAGCAAGGTGCTGAAGTGCTCATAGTTCTGCTTGTCGTGCCAATATCGGATGACTATTTCTGTTTTGGGCAATTTTAATTGCTTGAGCTGCTTCAGCTTGGCGACTCTGTTGTACTCTCTCTT